AAAAATATATAATGTTCAGCAGCACTGAGTCGGCACTTAATGCTTCGGACTATGTACTCTCCATCACCTCCTGCTTCCTGGATCTAATTCCTTAAATAAGAATGCAATCAAGACTCTGTGCAAGCATTATTTTTAAGTGGAAAACTGAATCAGTACAGTTATAAAAGGGCAGGGTTACCATATGGTGGAGTCCAGCCAAATGACATATTGACTGTGCAAAGCCATTCCTAATGAGTGGAGGAGGGAAATGCCTGAGATAGTGAACACTTGGCTGAAGATCATGAGGAAAAAGAAAGTGAACTCGATAAGGATCATAATGTATGATAAAATACGTTCTGTTCCATTCTCATCATGTACTCATTACGTTCTGAGAACACAGTGCGATAAGCTTACAAGTTGCCCAGTTAAGGCCTAAAGGCAGATAAAAAGTTGATGGAAATTATCACATTTTACATTAGAAAAATTATGTTTGCTTTTCTTTATTAAATAAAAAACTCAGAAGACTTTACAAAAAAAGTTCACAAAATATATAACGTGCAATGAAGTGCATCTAAATTAGACTAGTCATGACATATTCTAACCAACCTTATAGGAGATGGCATCTCATGGTGGCAATTTATGCACTGTCAAAAGAGGAATAAGTACACCACCAAACAAAGGGAAGTAGATAGAAGAGGACAGTGATCTGAATAAAAGTTGCATGTTAGTTTATGGGTATACATGAGAGCCAGCATGGCGTAGTGGTTTGAGCATTGGACTACAACTATGGAGACCAGGTTTTGATGCCCAACTTGGCCATGAAACCCACTGGGTGACCTTGGAAAAGTCATACGCTGTCAGCCTCTGGGGAAGGCAAACCTTCTCTGAACAAATCTTGCCATGAAAGCCTTATGATAGTTGCCATAAGTCAGAAATGACTTGAAAGCACACAACGACAAACAACAATCTAAACAACCTGTAATCTTAATGGAACTAAGGCATGATTTAGGTTAGATTTAGCCTAATAAAAGAATAATTCAAGTTACCAATGCCAAAGTTACAATAAAAACAAAACTACTATCATACAATAAACAAATTCATCATAAAAATCAAAACTTAAACTGCCAGTTCAACAAAATCATCAGATAGTTCAATGGGAGAAAACTAATTAAACCTTTCCAGAGATGGCATTTGAGTGGCAATTTATATGCACTGCCAAAAGAGGAATAAGTACATTACCAAACAAAGGGAAACAAGCAAAAAGGAACACTGATCTGAATAAAAGTTGCATATGTTGGTTTATGGGTATACATGAAAATATAGTAATAGTTAAAGAGAAATACAATATATCAATAATACTGGGTAAGATGGTGTCCAAGCAACCTGTGTCACTCTTTGCCATCCAGGGCTAAGTGTTGATGAAGACCAGTTAATTTATGTACTACTCTGCACATACTCTCACAAGTAAAACCCAATGGGACAGAGCTCTGAATAAACATCCATACCATCAGGCTCTTCCTGGTTAGCTGGATATAAGCCACTGAAAGTCAACAGCGCTGAAAATGAACTGAGGTCAGAACAGAATTTGCATTTTGGAACCCTGGGAGTTCAGTTAGTACAAAAGTGAAATGACCCCACTTTGCTTTATTTACTATGGTGATCTCATCCAACACTAGAAGGCATACAGTCAAGTGAAAAAGCAATTAAAAATTGAGCTGGGAAGACTGCAGTGCTCTTGCATTTTTTCTAAAGCAATTAGTGATCAGGTGGGATTTGCCATTTTCAAGCCTAGTTTTTAATGTATGACAAGATTCACTGAATCTTGTAAAAGGCTGAGCCAGGAAGAGGTGCATGAGCCACAGTCTTGGTATGATGAATGAGCCAAATATCTTCCTCCACATATGCTCATGGTATCCATGTCTCCTACTTTACAGAGTTTCTGTTTGAAAAGTTGTATCTTCTGAGTTCACTTTAAAGATAAAGAGCTGTAAGGAGGCAGGATAGGAGCCTTGAACAAAATGAACTAGTGCACAAATCATTTGGTCACAATCTCCCCCAAAATGAGGTGGTATACTTTATTTCCATTTAAGTTACAGTAGGCATTTTTAAATATGTGCCTTCTACATATAAATTAGCAAGTGTGGTTTTTATGCAAATCAGGTTTCTCCTTTGTCCTCTTTCTTTGGTAATTTACCTCTCTTTTTTGGTGATATCAACTGGTCACTCTATGGTTTGGTGTTTGGTGTTGTTTTAACAGACATGAAATATTATCCTGTTTAAAGAGACTTCAATATTGGGCTGTACAATATATTAATTTTACCCTGCATTCGTTTTTGAGCTGATGGATTGGTTCTTTTTTCAACAACAGGAGCACTAGAGGAAGGATTTCCACAATATGTTATCATAGTTCAGGGAAATTTATACTTAAATTAAAAGCATCAAGTGGTAGGCTGTGCACTACATGACATCTCATTGATAGGGATGTAAATAACATATTCTAAAAATTATCTATTTTGGTCCCAGAGGTGTGTGTTTACAACAGGAAGTGTCCCAGAATTCACTTCCTATTTGAAAAAGTGGGTGTCCCCTGAGCCTGAAATGGCTCAAGGGGTCCAAAACAAGGCAAAGATGTTTGGCTGGTGAGAGTCTGAGGACTCCCAGCACTTTTTCTGCTCCTGTTTCTGGAGTGAAAGCATTCCACCATCACCACCCCATATAGTAAATGCATTTGTCACAGTATCTGAATGACAACAAACTACGTATCTTCGCAACTTTCCTCCTCCATGATCCTGGGTCAGCCTTCTATAGGGACCTCAGACCAGGTTAAGGATTTGCTCCTGTAGACAGTGATCCTCTCCACAGGGGAAATTCACCACTAACTGTCCTTCTTACTAGTGCTTTTGTAGCTATGTGAATGTTGTTTGCTCCTGCCTTTCCCAAGATAACTCAAGGCTCTGTAGTTCTCATCCTCCCATTGGAGTTGACTGGCCTGTGCATGTTCACTCAGGTCTTCAGAGAGCAAATAAATTATCTGGGGATATTAGCAGTGTGCTAGAATCCTGGCCTCCTTTCCCCCATCATCTTTCAGGTGGTTTTGCCAGGTAGCCAAGGACATCATTATTGCCAGACAATAACAGGGAAATGATGGCTGGCTTCCAGTGCTCCTTAGCTGGCTAGCTCTTGAACTCTGGAATTAGTACATATCAGGTTGTATCCTGGGCCCCAAATATGCTAAAGGCACCAGATCTATCTCATCTTGGAAGCTGGGTCAGCCCTGGTAAATACTTGGGTGGGAGACTGCCAATGAATAACAGGTGCTTTAGGCTGTATTTCAGAGGAAGGAACTGGCAAAAACACCTCTGAGTATTCCTTGCCTAAGAAAAGCCTATGAAAAATTTGTGGGATCATCATAAGTTGACAGCTGACTGGAAAGCACATACATACATACATACACATACACAAAAAAACAGGGAGGGCTGAACTAAATGCAGACCTTACTTTTGAGTCTGGGGAACCTCTGGACATCCAGATGTTTCCTACCATGATTTCTCAGTAATGCCAAAGCTGAATGGACATCAGAGGAATTTTGGATCATCATGGGGGAGGCACAGTTTCCTAGCTGTACCTTATTTAAATATAAAAGTTAATGGATGTAAATACTGTACTATGTTTTATAAAACATTTATAATCAAACCTATCAGGGTCATATCAGCTTCCTTAAAGCAAAATTCATTTAATTTCTTTAAGGCAGAAAACACCAGTCAACCATAAGATACACAGTCTTCTTCTTGCACACTTGAGTAAAAATCCATCTCAAAGAGACAGCATCTGATTAGATTAAGCCTGACTTTGAAACTAATTGTCCAACAGACTTGTCAGGGTAGCTTGACCTTAAGGCTTGAAGATGCTGAAGCCCATCCAACTTCCTTAATTAATAACTTCCCCAGATAAGTTCCTTCTTACTGTTGTAGTTGATTACTAAATCTCTCTGCTTCAAAACAACAGATGGTTTAGGGTCTTCCAAAATTAAAAAGAGACCTGAACTTGTGTTTCAGACTACAGTTAATCATATACTCCCTCACCCTCATAAAGCATACCTTAAGAGAATTGTATCAGCAGTAGATGGTAGGGTAACTTACTGAGGCAAGCTATGAATGCAATCATATCAGTAAAGAAGCCTAGCATTTTAAGCACTGAAACATTACTTCTTGCAGACAACAAATCCACAGCAAATCTGTAGGATGTCAGACTAGAATGGTTCGAATCCCACTAGATTTGAAGCTCGCTGGGGGTACGCAGCCAGACATTTCTCAGCCTAACTTACTTGCCAGGCCTGTTGTGAGGATAAAATGGAGAGGAAGAGAGAGCGCTATATAGGCCATCTTAAGTTCTTTGAAAGAAAGGCTGCTTATAATGTAATAAACAGAAAAGCCAACAAAAACTAATACATAAGACTAAGCAAACTGCATCTAACAACGCTGCCACTGGAGACTACACACTAATGCTTTCTTCTGTATACAGCCTCTCTTCTACACTTATGAACTTTATATACATGCAGTCTGTGTTCTGCAAAAATGCAAAGCACACATTACTCTGGTTAAACCTATAGATTAAAGTATCCTATAGAATACACATAGAGTGAGTTTCACAGCAAAGTCCTGCTCACAACACAGTCATTCATTTTCTGAAGTTATTTTCATACACAAATGGTTCTCAATCTCTGCTCCCTCAAGTGGCTTGGACTTCAGTTCCCAGAATTCCCGAGCATTGGCCATACTAGCCGGGACTTCTAGGAATTGAAATCTAAAACCTCTGGAAGACCAAAGACTGAGAACTACAGACTCCACTTGTACTTTGTTTGTTTTTCTGTGAGCCTTCAAGTTGTTTCTGACTTGTAGCAGCCCCAAAGCGAACATATCATGAGGGTTTCCTGGCAAGATTTGTTCAGAGGAGATTTACTATTGCCTTACTCTGAGGCTGAGAGCATGTGACTTGCCCAAGGTCACCCAAGTTGGATTTCATGTCTGAGCTGGGAATCAAACCCTGGTCTCCAGATTCACAGTCTAGCACTCAAACCACTACACTAGACTGGCTGTTATATAAATGTTAAACACCCTTAATTTTTTGTTTTTTTAATCATCAATTTTGTATTCATTTTGGTTGGGTTCTATCTTACCAGGATACAGAAATAATTACACTCTTAGGAAAGATTTTATGATATACCTAAATGCAGTATACTCAATAACTGGAGAATGGAATTTTCATTTTAATAGTACAGTTACATACACCCTGTGCTGTTGCATGAAATGTAAGAAGCAATAAGGCTGATTTAACGATCCAGTGTTATGGTTACTGTACATATAGACTATTTTAATTGGTCTTTTTTATTTTAAAAATATGTACAGTCTGATGAATGACTGCACATTTGTGTGCATTTTGATAGACACTGTTACAAAGAAAAAAACAACCAAGAAGAATGAAAATAAAAGCCTCTATACACATGGATTTTTTAAAAGGTAGAGCTTCTCAATAATGGTTTCAATTAATGCATTATAAGAGATCCTAAAGGTAGTGTTAAATCAAAGGGGAAGAATAATTATTTCTAGCGTTCTGTGGACATTCAGGTGTCTTCCTAGTGTTAATGTTCTTATGCTCCCCTTGTAGAATATCTGCATAAAAAATCCAGTGGGTGTGTAGACCATGAATTTAAGTTGAGAATTCCATTGCATGCATTATATTATATGCAGCCTGGATCCCATATGATCTTGGAAGCTAAGTAGAGTTAACCCTGGTTAGTACTTGGATGGGACACCAGCAATGAATACCAGGTTATTTCAGAGGAAAGTACTGGCAAAACCATTTCTGATTATTCCTCATCTAAGAAAACTCTATTAAATTCATGGGATGCCACAAATAAGCAGATGATTCAAAGGTACACACACAATCACTTATATCGTGCCACTTATATCGAAAGTGGGCAGTCTTAGAGAGTCCAAGTTTCTTATTAGCCCCAGACCCTTTCAGGCTCCACTAGCCCAATTTTTTCCCACATCCAGAAGTGAAAAGAGCACTACTTAGGTCCTTCAAAATAGCACTTAAATGGGGATAGATTTCAAAGACAAAGCTGTGTTAGTCTGCAAGATCTCTTTGTGTACTTAAATAAGAAATCACACCCTAAGAAGTCTCTGGAGGTGGGATCATTCCCTCCCCCCAGATTTTATATGGGCAGGCAGCAAATGTCCACATAAAGTACTCCCCACCTTCCCACTTGGATGGGAGATCATCAACCACATGCTGTAGGCTATATTTCAAAGGAAGGAACTGGCAAAACCACTTCTGAGTCTTCCTTGCCTAAGAAAACCCTAGGAAATTCATTCTGAATGTACAGCTGCTTGATCCATGCATCACTAAACAAAATGGCTTAATAATTCATGGCTATCCTCTTAAAGGGCCAAATACCCTAAAGACACCGCATCCTGTCTGATATTGGAAGCTATGCAGGGTCAGTTGGATGGAAGACCACCAACAAATACTATATGAACAGGTGAAAGCTATATTTCAGAGGAACAAACTGGCGAAACCACCTCTGAGTCTTCCTTGCCTAAGGAAACTCTATGAAATCCACAGGATCACCATACACTGACAAGCAACTAGAAGGCACACACTTACACACACACACACACACACACAACTCTGGCATCGCCTTTATGAAGTGCATACATGACTCAACCATGATGCAAACTGCAGCGCTAAATACAATTACTTGTACAATCAAAGAACAGCTGCAACTCAGCAGTCAAGCTCATACTTGGGATGCAGATGGTCCCAGGTTCAATTCCTGGCACCTCTAGATATGTCAGGAAAACCATTTGGAGAGTCAAAGCCAGACAACACAACAAAGACTGAACCAGAGAGATCAATGGTCTATAGCAGAGCTTTGAAAAAGTCTGCTTTTAGATTACAATTCCTATGCTCATTTGAAGTTCCAAGGAGTATATTCCAAGCTCTGAGTCATTTAAACACAGCTTCCTATTTGTATCTTTTCTTTGTCACTTAACTGCTTTTCAGTTGACTGATTTCACTTTTAGTAACAAAAGAAGATTACTGTACAGAAATGTTAATTGAGAGTAGTAAGAGGAAGGTAGACCATGCTTTACTTGACCATTTGTTTGAAGGCGATTACACACACACACACACAGAGAGAGACACAGTTTCTAGCAAGCCTCCTTAGGTGTCACACTTAATTGTCTTTGAAGATCCTGTGTACTGGAACGTGCATTTCATCATTATTTCTTTGACTTGTTATATCAATCACCTCAACTGCAACACAAAATTTCTGGCCTGTGAAGTGATAATTTGTTCCAGTGGTATTAATGAGGCAAGGAGTGGTCTTCAGGGACCTGGCAGCCTGTCACTTTGCAGTCAGTGGTAGATTATGGCAGAGCACACCATAAGGTTGAAGTGGCATACAACCATATCAGAAACTTTTTTCTCCCTAGTTAAAGCCAAGAATAACAAGTTATTGCAAAATCTTGTATTGCATTTGTTTTTCCCCCAGGCAGTTTAACACCACATTTCAGCATGTGAACCATGAAAACAGCTCACCCATGTTTGCAAATCTTCCTCAGCCATTAAGTCACTACTGGAATAAATTTAGGTAAAGCTCTCAGCTGAGAAACCTACCTTACAATAGTGTTCTGTGGATAAAACCGGATATCCTAGCAAATGAGGAAGACTGTAGGGTTGAAATGTAAGATGAAGGCTGAGGTAGTGTGCCAGGGATAAGTACTCAGTTCCCTTGTTAATTATCCAGTGCAAATGTTCAGAAAGTCTGGGGAAATGTGATAATAACAATGACAAAAATTACAAATCAAATTATAACGTTTTGTGGGAAACTGTTGCTGCAGGTTAATATTCACTGGAGCAAATAAATGCCTACAACATAAAAAAAATTAATCACAATTTTAATATATGCAGCTAGAGCCATAATTAGTAAAACTGGAAATATTTGGAAAATGTAAATATTGAATGCTGGTGGAATAAAATATGGGAGATTATACTGATGAAAAAATTAACATGTGTGGCTAGAGGAGTAGAAAACATAGACAAAAGCAGTGAAATTTGGAACCTTTGCCCTTGCCTTATATACTGCTAGTATATGAACAAACAAAAAGAAGAAAGGGAGCCACCAAAGGGGTACACATCATTTTGGATGGATGCTTTCTGAAAGCTGGAATGAACACTATAGGTGTACTTTGTTCATGCAATACAGGTAACAACTTTGGTCCATTCTCTTGACTATCAGCAGATCTTATCAGCACAGATTATCATTTTGGAAGATGTCCTCCAGTATATATGAATAGTTTGCAAGGGAGAAAGGAAAGGGAGGGATGCTGCTGTCAAGTGGCTTGAACTTTGTTTCTTTCACAGTAGGGAGACTATTTGAGCTAATGGACCCATAAAATGGGCTTTGATGGTGGACTCACTTCGATTATTAATCATATCAGTGAACTGCAATGTATTTTTAGTTTCTGTACTAAATACATATATTTTTTAAAAATATCCACTGACAATCCAAGACAATTGCCTCTCCACCCATCCTCCTCCCACAGTGCTTTTGGGAGACCATACAGTCAGCTCTCCATATTCACAGATTTTTTTTTTATCCATGGATTCAACTATCCACATCTTGAAGATATTCCATATATATATATATATATATATATATATATATATATATATATATAAGCAAACCTTGATTTTGACATTTTATAACTAAAATTATTTGACAAGACCATTGTGCATAATTGGAGTTGAGCATCCATGGATTTTAGTATCCATGGGGGTCCTGGAACCAAACCCCAGCAGATACCAAGGGGCTACTATATTGGTAGTGTTTTCTATATCAGTGGAATCAACTCCACATTATAGTAAACTCTTTAAATAATTTACCCGAGGGGGCAAACCTTAATCCCCAAAAAGGTTCAGATCCTTTAATGATCAGGCAAGAAACTCAGGCCTCATTTGCACTGCAGAAATAATGTAGTTTGACACCACTTTAACTACCATGGCTCCAGCCTATGGAATCCTGGGGTTTGTAGTTTGTTGTGGCACCAGAGCTCTCTATTTCACAGAACTACACATTATAGAATTTCATAGCATTGAGCCATGTCAATTAAAGTGGTGTCAAACTACATTATTTCTGCAGTGCACATGGAGAATGACAGGGAAATTCATTCCCCAACAGAGATGGGCACCAACAGCCACCACTCTTCCATGTAAAGAAGAGAGAACCAGAGACAAGAGACAGATAAGCAAATAGGACTGTTTGGGAACTATCTTCAGTGCAGACCAGTGCCCTTTAAGCCTCTACAACTAACACTATCCTTCTGCCATCTTCACACCAGGTTTGGTTTGAAAATGAGCGCCTTTTCAGTTTTCCAACCCCTATGATTTAGAATCCTGCTTCTGCAAAGTTACTCATTACTCATTTAGATGGCAGCTACTAGAATCCACTAGTTAACATCTTGGTTAGGGGATAATGGGAGCCACAGTCCAAAATTCTCAAGCCAATAGTGGGAGCCTTCAGGGCAGTAAAGAGTTCCAGGTGAACATTTTGTTTGGATAAAATATGGAGCTCCAACCCCTCTCCACAAGGAGGGAAATCTTAAAGGAATGGGCCTTTGACTTGAACCCAAAGGTTTTCAGACAAGCTAGACATGCTTCTGGTTTTGGTGTACTTTGGCTTTGGGGATTGTAGAGCTCTTGGAGAAAGTTATGGTACTTCTTAGTGCTCAGTGGTCTTGGGTCTCCTCAGTTGTGCTCGTGCCTGGGTCTCCTCAGCTACTTCCTTAGCCTCTAAGGCCATGTCCAAAACAATGGTGGATTTCTAGATGATTTTACGATGTAAGCCGCCCCGATTGTTCTCAGAGGGGCGGGGTATTAAATAAAAATTATTATTATTATTATTATTATTATTATCCTATGCATGGAAGATGATGCCCAAATAGGTCGCATGTATCACTGGTAGCTGAACTATCAGGGCATGCTAAGTCAATACTATCTGCTGTGGAGTATGATTTTCCAACAAAAA